AGAGGGAGAGACAGAAACATCAGTGATGAGAGAGAACCATTGATTGGCTGCCTCCTGCATGCCCCACACTAGGGATGGAGCCCACAGCCCAGGTATATGCCCTGACTAGGAACCGTGACCTCCTGGTTCATAAAGTCAAACCTCAACCATGGAGCCACACAGGCTGGCTCAACACATATTCTCTTGAACATCTGTGATATGTGAGACATGAGAGAATGTTCTAGAAGTTGAGTCTACAATGGTGAACCAAACAGGATTTGGTCTCTGCTCTCATGGAGCCTACAATCTAATGACAGGTAACAAAGGTGGGCAGAGGTTTTTGTTAAGAGGCCAGAGAGAAAACATTTTTAGTTTTGGGGCCAAGAGAAAAAAAATGAAGTGACAACCATGTCACTAAGAGTGTGTGCAGATGGGGTTCCACAGAGAGTCTCTGCCATAGCAATTGAACTTGGCTGCTAAAGATGATGAGTAAACAAATGGGTGTGGCTATCCTATATAATAAAAGCCTAATACGCTAAGTGTTCAATCATCAGATCTTCCATTCAACCGAAGTGTAATATGCTGATGATATGCTAAGGCTGCTCAACCGCTTGCTATGACGTGCACTGACCACCCGAGGGCAGAGCTCTGACCAGTAGGTTAGCTTGTGGCTGAGATCTGGCTGATCGGGACTGAGCGAGATGGGCCAGATATGCCCTGGAGCCCTCTTGTGGTCCCTCCCTGGCTGGCCAACCTCCTGTGTCTCTTCCCAACCTTGATGATGCAGGGGGAGGGGGGCAGTGTGTGTCCCTTGGTCTGACCTGCATCCTCTTGCAATCTGGGACCCCTTGGGGGATGTCAGAGAGCCAGTTTCAGCCTGATCCTGCTCAATTCAGAAGCTGCCCCCTGGTGGTCAGTGTGCTCCCACAGGGGGAGTGCAGCTCAGCCAGAAGCTGAGTTCATAGTCAGCAAGTGCAGTGGCGGTGGCAGGAGCCTCTCCTGCCTCCGTGGCAGTGGTAAGGATGTTTGACCCATGGGGAGTGGGTTTAAGCCTTCAGTTGGACATCCTCCGAAGACTCCTGGACTGGAAGAGGGCACAGGCTGGGCTGAGTGACTCCCCCCTCCCTTGAATGCACAAATTTCTTGCACTGGGCCTCTAGTATTCCATAAATCTTTCTTTTTTCTTTTCTTTTTTTTTTTTTTTTTAAAAATATATTTTATTGATTTTCCATAGAGAGGAAGGAAGACGGATAGAGAGCTAGAAATGTCGATGAGAGAGAAACATCGACCAGCTGCCTCCTGCACACCCCCGGCTGGGGATGTACCCGCAACCAATGTACATGCCCTTGACCGGAATCGAACCTGGGACCTTTCAGTCCACAGACCAATGCTCTATCCACTGAGCCAAACCGGTTTCGGCCATAAATCTTTCTTGAAAAAAATCAGGCTTTGGCTGGGTAGCTCAGTTGGTTACAGTGTTTCCCTGATATGCCAAGGTTGCAGGTTCTATTGCCTGGTCAGGACTTATCAATATATAAGAATCAACCAATGAATGCACAGATAAGTGAAACAGTAAATTGATGTTTCTATCACTTTCTCTCTCTCTCAAAATTAATCAACAAAATAAAAACAAAAAACAGGTAGGGGTTAGATTTGGTGCCTGGGCTACAGTCTGTTGCTTTGGGGTCTCCTCTGGCCTCTGAAGCCTACCTCTCACACTCTTTCCAGGGATTGAAAGTCCTGGGTGTGAGAGCTCCCACCATGCCCTCCTCCAATAGCTGAGCACAGGCTGTGCATAAACACCCCAGTTCTCTCTGGTGGATGTCTGAGGTGTGTGTTCTGTCCTGTCTCCAAGTTCCCAGTGGGATTGGACCCATGGCCCATGGTGGTCATTGCTCTTGAAGCCCATTTGTTGGCCTTCCCTTCCTCATTCCCCTAGTGGTGTTTCTTGGCTTCACCTCCCACATAAACTACTTGCCCACACATGCTCATCCCCAGGCCTGTGCCCACAGGAGATCAACCAAAGACAAATTGAAGACAGGGATGTTGGAAGATCTTGAGCAGGGGTCAGCCAATTATGGCCCATGGGCCAAATCCAGCTTGTTGCCTTTTTTTTTTTTTTTTTTTTTTTTTTGTAAATACAGTTTTATTAGAACACAGCCACATCCATTTGTTTACTAATATCAATGGCTGCTTCTCATTATAATGGCAGAGTTGAGCTGTTGTGTCAGACCGATGGCCCACGAAGCCAAATGTATTTACCATCTGACCTTTCAAGGAAAATGCGTGCTTACCTTTGGCCTTGAGGAACAAAGTTGGCATGGTCTGATTTGCTTCCTCAAACATCTCTCCTGCTGCTGCATGGAGAGTGGATGTGGGTTGGAGGGCTTACAGACCAGTTAAAAGGCCACCCATGAAGTCCAGTAGAGAGACAAGTGAACTGATCTGAGTTGTATTTTGAAGTGAGAAGCAACAGAACTGTTGGTGGGCTGAGGGATGTGTGTTTATATATTTTGGTTCTTCTAATGCTCCTTGGAGAAGTTAGCTTTATCTTCCACATCCCTTCCTTCAGGAATCCTTCATGGCTTCTCCGTACTCCTCCAGTCCCTAGACTCCTCCTCTCACAGTGTTCTGTTCTTCCTTTCCTCTTGCCTTAGAGCTGAGATAACATGACAGAGCCCAGATTGTGACTCTAGGCCTTGTTCTCAGAACCCTCCTCACCCTGCTTTATCAGTGTGAGTCTCAGACCTGGCATATAGTAGGTGCTCAGTAAATAGTCACCGAATGAATGAAGACCAAGAACTCTGGTTTGGGCCACACTGCTTATTCATACACTGCCTTCACTGCCCCCACACTCCTTTCCCAGCCTGTCCTGCTATTTCTAGCTCAGACTCTCATATTTTATGGCTTAGGCATGGGGCCCTGGCAATGAAGTGGAGCCCACAGGTGACACGATGCCACCATAATTTAAAGAATGTGGGTCTCATGCACTCAGGTAACACGGACACTGTAAGCTCCCTGAGAGCAGACAGTCGTTTCTGGGCAGCCATCTGTGTCTGTTTGGGCAGCTCGTGTGTGAAACACAGTCCGGTTCTCCCAGCACATTAGAGGAGTGAGGGGAGAACACAGGGACACTGAGTGTTCGACAGGCCCATCACTTGGGCCGCCTCAATCACGTCCACCCTCTGCCTTGTAGCTTTGAATTTGTGGGACAGCTGCCCACAGCCTCTGCTCAGATTGCATCATAAATTTCTCAGGCACAAGCTGGCCAGGACTGGGAACGTGAAGAGGCAGCCTGGAAGCCAAGCAGGGGTGCTGGCATTTGTTAAAAAAATCCACTGGAGCCGAATCGGTTTGGCTCAGTGGATAGAGCGTCGGTCTGTGGGCTGAAAGGTCCCAGGTTCGATTCCGGTCAAGGGTGTGTACCTTGGTTGCAGGCACATCCCCAGTAGGAGGTGTGCAGGAGGCAGCTGATAGATGTTTCTCTCTCATTGATGTTTCTAACTCTCTATCCCTCTCTTTTCCTCTGTATATATATATAAAAAATCAATAAAATATATTAAAAAAATCCACTGGAGGTTAGGGTGCGTGCTGGGTGTGGTGGAGGTCTCAACCCTATTCCCTCGTGTGGCCCTCGGGGGGCCAGCACTCCTCCTCCACCCCTCCTTCCCCTCTCCTGTGCCTCTCTCCTCTCTGGCCACCTTTAAAAAACACACACATGCAGAAACCAGTCCGTCAAATGTCATTACAGATTTATTAAGCCTGATGTAGAAAGACATTTAACAGTAACATCTTCCGAAAGAATAAAAAGAGCACTTCTATTCAGTCTTGTGCTTTGAAAATCTAAATATATTTTTATCATATAAATAATTCTTTTCATGTTTTAAGAGCATCTGTGTGTTTTTTTTTTTCTTCTTCTTCTTCTCTCCTTTACTTTTCATTTTTTTCAGTTGGCCAAAGCGGAAGTCATTGTTGACGGCAATGAAGGCTTTTGCAAAGCTGAGGGGCCGAGGGCCTGTCTGCGTGCTATGGGGGCGCTGGGCTTCAGAAAGGAGCTCACAAGCATTAAAACGGGGACAGCAAAGCCACACGGAACACACCCAGGTCCTCGGTGTCACTATTGCTTTCGCGATGCAAACTACGAAAAGGTTTCCAGTGGGGGCAGTCCATTCCAATAGCTGCCGAGTGGGAAGAGAAAGAAAAGACTTTTTCTTCTTTCTTTTTTCAGAAAGGATAAGTTATCAAGTTCAAAAATGTAAATAATGCGCTTACAAAAAGCTTTTGGATGGAAATGAGGGCCTCCACATCACCTGGGCAAGTGTGTTGTTACTGTTTTCACAATCGTTAAAAGAAGTCCTATTATTGAGGGTTTTAATCACAGTTCTAAAGTAGAATAATTTTCCTAAAAACACAACAACCCCAAACTCTTTTGATGTAAAAAACAATGGCTTCAGTGATATAACTTAAGGGTTTTCTTCGTCTCCACCATCAGAATTTATTTCCACTGGGGAAACTATATTTTAAATAATCTCTCCTTCTAGAGACAATTCCCACGCTGCAGCTGGATGCGCAGGCATACATCTTGAATGCACCCGAACAAAGTCATTCTTATTCAGCGAGGTGTTTTTTTTGTTTTTTTTTTTAAACCTGATTTAAGTGCTAGGGACTTCAAGACCAGACTGTTTCTAATTGGGAGGGACGACAGGCTGGTGGCACCACGGGACAAAAGCAGGAGCACCTTTGCTGAAAGTCCCTGTGTTTGTTTTCAGCCTGAAAGCCGTGGTCTCCAGCGGGGCTGTTCGTTGTGGGCGGTGACAGCGCGGCCCGGCCTTGGACATTAGTTGAGACTCGCTGCCCGGAGCACGCGCGTGCAGGACGGCAGGGAGCTAAGGTCAGTGTGGCCTGCCAGGGGGAATGTTCCAGGCCCGGCAGAGTGGGCACGGGTGCCCATCTGTGATGAATCTGTTTGGCCACAGGGTGGTATAATTTTCCTGGCAGAAAACTCCCCCCCCCCCCCCCCAATTGCAAGGACAATTTATAATCATCAAAAACAAGTGAAACATGGTTTTGATTAAAACAGCCTGTTGGCTCAATAATCTCCGTAATTTTAAAAACATCCTTAATGCAGAAGAAGAGCAGGCCGATGTCAGGCATGGCCTGGGGCCCCATTACAACAGCCACCGAATAAATAAAGAGAAGAAATGCGAGGTCATAAAAACAGAATTAAGCTAATGTTTCAAATTTTGACAATTATGAATTCTTCCTCTAAGAAGACATTTAAAAAATGTTCAGGCACTATTAGATAAAATACAAAGCGGGTAATCCACACGGCTTTCCCAAGGGATAGAGCATGCCTTGAAAGGAAAACTCGGAATTAAGTCGCCGGTTCCTCCCTCGATCTGGCAGTGGGGTGGGACTCATGCAGGCAGACAAACGTGGGTCTCAGAATTCCTTTGTGAACTCAGACCTAATTCTTTCATAAGCTATTCAAAGAGAATGATCGGGGAAAAAGTTACAAGCATTTTTTTCTCTCCCTTCTATACAAAAGAATCCCCATTGTGGGCCAGTTTGGTAGGAAACAGAAACAAGCAAATATAACGAAATCTGTGTTCATACATGGCAATATAGTTAATATATACAGATATGTACAGTATAAAAATGAACGGGGCTTTATGCTCCCAGCCATCCCAGTTGCATTGTACACAAGGACAGCCCGGCTTCCCTCCGCGTCTACAGGCAGATGCATTACACACAGCATGCAGGTCTAGAACGTGAGTGCGTCCGCACAGAGCTATGAGACGGGTGGTGGCCGTCATTTTTTTTGGAAAATGACTAGTCTGCTTTCCTAATATAAAAATGTGTTCCCCTTTCTTCGCTGGCAAAGAAACTCTTTCAGCGCAGGGAAGAATGTGATTTTCCTGACTCACTCTGCCCTATCTCTCCCCCACCTCCCCATTATTTTTCCGAAAAGAACCCTCTCCCCGTGGAATTCATGCAAATCCAGAATTATGCAATGTAAACATGGTTGGTGTGTCCAATTTTCTAAGAAGCTACAGGCGCTCTGCAGAGTAAGAACCGGGTGACCGTTAAAGCGAGTGTGTATGTTCAACTGCCTGGTTGGTTTAAAGGGACATGGACTTGGATGATAGCAGGCTCACAGGACCCGGCTGTGGAAGTCACAGCCAGGAGAATTAGAAAGATGCCGGCATATCAGAGACTAAAAAGTATATTGTATCTCGAGATATCATGACATTGAAGAACCCTGAGCCAAATGAAAATTGTTTCGTATGGAAGCTTTTTTTTTTGACTTGCATTGCTCATTCTAGAGTCTGATGTGTTTTTTTTTTTTTTTTTTTTTTTTTTTTTTGTGATGAGCCAAAATATTGTATTGTAAAACCAGAATGTTTCGGTTGTATTTGTCTCAACGCAGAGCAAGGGAGAGTTTATACGTTTTCTCCGTGGACCGGTTTAATTTTGTGTATTTAAAAAACACATGCACTCACGCACTTATAATTCCTGGATGTTCCCTAGGTCATTTAGAAAGCGAGTGAAAATACTACCACGTGAAGTCTTCACGTTTGAGATATGACTGCTCAAGTTCTGTAAAGATAAGCTTTGCTTGGGGTCTGATATCTAAATGTAGGTTTCAGGTTCAGGATAATTCAGTGAACACACTGAAATTTATTTTCTGGAGGGGTTGAAGGGAGTGGTAGATTTTTTTTTTTTTTTTGGTAATGCATTTGCTCAAATTTTTCAATTTCTCTTGGGGGTTCTCACAAGAGAGTTATTATTTGTACTTCCCAAAGCAGCTTTAAGCAAATAAACATCGCACAAAGGGCTGTGAGTGTGCAATCGGTCTTTCTCAAACAGATCATCCTTTTAAAAGGCCTTAATGACAATCAGATGGCTATTGGTACAATCACTGGCGTGCTGAAAGGTGTCAGCTCAGGGTGCCGTTACTTGGAAGAGCCATTTTGCTTGCCATATATTTTTCCAAAGGAAATGGCCAGGATCCTCTTGCAGAAATAGCATTCCACCTGGTCCCAGCATTTTAGAACAGCCCTCTTGTAATCCATAAAACATTTCCCGTTCTCCCTGGAGCTCTGAGCTGCCTTGCGCATGAATAATTTTTGGAGAAACACCCACGCCCCTGAGCCCATTGTTCGTAGCTCTGGGAAGGAGGGTGACTCTCGCCTGGAAATTGTGTATCTCGGTTTGCCCCTGAACCTGTCACAGGAAACCAAAGGAGATAAGTGGCTTTTACTTTGGATGAAGAGGTAAAATTCCCCGGTAGAAATTCTAAAGATGATTCACAAGTTTCAAGTGTTTAATGCTTCCCTACAACGAAAATATGTGTCTCTGTCTGGGGTGGTTGGAAATTTGTCTCTCTTTCTCCTTCCTGCTAGGTCTTTGCCTCAAAATATTTCACGGGTATTTTGAGAGAGTGCCACCGAGAGGGAGGGGGAAAGTGAAATTAGCATTTTGACATCTTACAGGGGAAAAGACATAAATCAAAAGTTCAGCTGTGATTTTTTTTGTTTTTTGTTTTTTCTAATGCATGAACCAAATAGATATCCTTGTATTGGTCTTTAGAATGCCAGATGTATATGTGTGTTTAAAGCCTCCAATTTATTTTCTTCTTATTATTATTATTTTAGCATTCATCAACATACTTCCATTCTTGTTGCAGAGAATAGACAATGATGTGAAAATAATGTTATCATCTTTTAAAAAGCAAAACCATTTAACAAGCTTAAAAATGAAGCCCGATGAAAAAGATTGGAACACAAATAACCTGGGGAATGAGAGATGGAGAATTAACAGAAGGCAAGCACCTTGGAAGGCCCCGTAATCTTTGGGTTTACAGTGAAAACGTTCAGAAAACCATAGACTCTTACTGTGGGCCTAGAAAATAACAGTGAAATTCACATGCACGCACGCACTTGCTCACAGCACACACACACACACACACACACACACACACCCCTCCTCACTGCTTGACCAGAGTTACATAAGTGCTTCCCACATGTATCATTTCATTTGTTTGTTTTCTCCATTTCAACTGAGCTCAGTGGCTTGTGCCTGTGACATTAATTGTGCAAGACTCAAACAACCGAGTAGGCACATTTTGGGGTGAGTTTTAAGAAATCTACCGGTGACCTTAAAGAAATTCCGTGGGGACTGTCCGGGCTATCCAATTTATTCTATGATTATATTCTGCTTTCAGGCCTTGACCTATTTTTAAGCTATTTCCTCCTGGTATATTTTTCAGAAGGAGCATTCCCTATTCTGAAATATTATTTTGAAAAACAGAACTAAAGCACAAATAACACAGGGAGTTGGACCCCACTGGAGTCCCCTTCCCCTCCCCCGGCTGTCTGGTGCCATACCTCTGGGAGCTGCGGTTGATCCCCGGAGGCCCGGGGCCTTATGGGACTTCTTCACGCTGTGACCCATGCCACCCAGGACAGTGCTGTGCACACAGCAGCTGCCCACTGAGGATTGCTGGGCGAATTTGCTGAATACGTTGTGCTTCCTGCTCTGCCGTGTGCCCCCAGTGTTTGGAACAGGTTGTAAAAAGGGGCCCAATACAGAAAACGTAATTATTTATATAGTTTTATCAATGGACCCTTCCTTTTGCAGCGGGTCGGTGGCCTTGCTAGAAAGAGGGAGGGAGAAGGAGAGGCAACCTCCCCCTCACTGATACCAAGGGTGGCGGCCGAATAGAGATTCTCGAGTGTCATTTGCACGCCATCTTCCTTTCCGTTTCTAAAGTCCTGGCTGATCAGAACCGCATTTATTCACGGAGAGGAAAAGAATGGCATGAAAGCAGGTAAACACATTCTCCTGAGTTCGTATTGTTTAGTTTTCCCCTCCAGAACGAAGCTTTAGAAGCCTCGCAGGGCTTGCCAAATGAAGACAGGCTGAGTCTCTAGGAATATACTCAGAATCGTGAGTATCTCTCAGCGCGAGCCCAGATCTGTTCCTCAGAACATTAGCAGCTGTCCCTCAGCGGTGACATTCACGGTTACCAAGCGACAATTCATGAGTCTTACCAAATTTATCAATATTTTTGTCTCTCGCCTCCCACCCCAACCCTCCACAGAAATTGCACTAACAAAACTGTATAGATTATATGTTGAAGCAAATGATTTATTTTTTTCTTAGCAGGGAACTATTTCCACGGAGCTGAGGACTGCATTGCTCCCTCCCCTCCACCTCCCTCACTCCCCCCTGGTTGGAACAAGAGCTCAAGAATTTGCTTTTGGACATTGTGGCAGAGTCTGAATTATGAAACTTTATCGAACACCCCTGGGTTGGAGCAGGCAATTTTGCACAGCTTCAAGAACCTCCATGCTAATGCACTGATTTCCCTTTAATAGAATTTCCTTGTCGAAGGACAGGGCTCAGAGGAGGCCACCCTTCCATCTTAGCCCATGCAAAGACTGCGCCTTTCCAGTTGAGCTCCATTCATTTCTGGTTGAATAGGTTAAGCAAAGACAGACCTGGCTGTTCTCAATTCACTTTATGATCCTCCCATCATAAAAAATAATATCAGCACCTTGCTTTTCATGTCAGAACTGCATTTGAGCCGCTATTTCCTATGCCCATGAGTAAATCCCATAAAAGCCGCCCCGTTGTACTGTTGTGATTTTTCCTTGTGGGTGATTGATTGATGGATGAGTGCTGACACCTCAATGAAGCTATTTCGACTGCCATCTCAATCCGATGATGTGAGGGGTGTAGTTTCTGTCCATGCCTCATTACTTCAGAATGACATTCCTGGAACTTCATTTACTTTTTTCCCTCCTTCCCCGAAGCGCCATATTTTTCCCCATCTAGGTTATGCATGCCATAAAAAAAAGCAATTTGCTATTATATGTGGCATAAGGGCAACACTTTCCCTAGGAGGTAAATAAGTTTTTTTGTTTTTTTTTAAAATCCCAATGTTGAATTTAGGGATCATGTCAAAAGTTCCAAAAACAACTCAACAGGCAGCCTCCATGAGAAATGGTGAAGAGGTTATATTTGGTTTCATTTTGTTGGAGATTTTTTTTTTGTGTGTGTGTGTGTGTGTGTGTGTGTGTGTGTGTGTGATAACCTGGCCATTAAAGCAACAACAAAAATATTCCTTTTGTTTCAAAATCATCTAGTTCTTAGTGTTGTGCCAAGAATCACCTATTGCTGGGTAGCAGGTTGCAACACAAGTCAGGCTTATTTGTCCTTTGAGAATAAGGAAATTCACTGTTTAAATGCAATGATGGATTTCTCCATTATAGGTTGCTTTCAGTTGTACAGAAAACGCTCAGCTCGAGCAAACAGACCTACCCCCTGCATTTCCAGAGTGTGCGCTAGGTATGCAAGACTTTTCATATTAAAACACACTCTTAGCTTTTCCAAGTTGACTTAGGACCTGATTTTAATCTGTGTAATACAGTATTCCTGTTAATAATAACGTATAATTAAGACATCCGTTAAAAATCCATAACGTTAATTTAATGGAGAAAATCTAATGCAGTTCTATTGGAATTTTTACGTTAAATTAACTTTAACGGCCTTTTAATGGATGTCTTAATTAGATCTCATTATTAACGGGAATATTCTACAAATTAAAATTGGGCCCTCCAAGTTTTAATGAAAAAAGTTGCAGAAACACATTTTAAAATGGACACCCTATTTCATGCTCTCCGTGGCTTCGGAGGCCGAGCTGGCCTCGGCGCCATCAACAACCTGGTCCTGCCCGCCCGGGAGACTGCGGGCGAGGAGCCTGCAGCGGCCGCAGCTGCGTGCTACCTCCCAGAGCCAGCATTGCACCCCGTCCCCATCCTCCCCATGGCAGGCCTCCTGGGACAGCTGCAGGCTCAAAGCGGATTTTTTTTTTTTTTTTTTAAACCCAGTGACGATGCCCACCGTGGCGATGCCCACGCTGCAGGGAGCTCATCTTTGCAGCCACACGGCGAAGCCCGGCGCTGGAGCAGCTCGCGCAGAAGATGAACCCCGCGCGGAGGTCCCCTTGGCGCAGAGTCTGGTTTCACTTAATAATTCTTCCACTTCGCGCTGACGAATGGCTCCCCAGGGCAGGGGCAGGACTGGGCAATCCAGGTGCAACCGTAATTGTTGCTCCGAACAGAAACATTTCCTTAGACAAACGCTCCCCGGGGGGTTATAAATAGGAAACGCACATCACCCGGAGCAGCAGGCTTCCCGGCGGCCAGGCCCACTTGGCCAGGAGGCTGTGGAGAGACTTCGGGGGAACCCCCCTCCCCTTTCCTGTCGAGCGTTACAAACGGACAGAATGAGTCCATCCGTGTGTCCTCGGGCATGATTTGTCGTCAGGGCCACTGTTTCCTCGGGACGGCGCAAAGGGGGCCGTGGAGACGAGACGGCCCCTCTGCAGTTTATCAATGGAAATCTAATATCGTCCATAAGCAGAGAAGTGGAAATCAATACTTCATTACCAAATGGTTGGTTAGTGCGGATGAAGAGCGATGGCCGGGTGGGTTTTTGGGGGGCAATCTTCGGAGAGCAGGGCGCCAGGAGTTCAATGTCAGCAGCGGGCGTGGAGGGTGGGCCAGGGGCTCAGGGGTCCAGACTGGAGAGGCGGAGCTAAGGCATTTGTCCTGCAATGGCAACCAGAACAACAAAAGGTGGTTATTTTCCCAGGAACAGCTCGAGGGCTTATGTCCCCAGGTGGTCAGTCAGTCACACTGCCCACCGAGACCAGTTAGTTCATGGGTGTTAACGCTCTGCACAGAGTCACAGGTATGTCTGGTCTAGGGTGTGATCTAACCAGTTGATGGGACACGGAAATGAAGAGCATTTTTAGGGGAAAAAATTAAAATATAACACGGGGAAGAGATATTTGCACATCATGTTCACAGCATTATTCACAACAGCCCCGGGGCGGGAGCAGCCCCGATGCTCATGGACAGGTGACTGGGCAGACGGAATGGGGTCTAGTCATCCAACGGCATGTTACTCAGCTTTGGAAAGGAGGGGCGTTCTGACACGTTCTAGGACTTGGATGGACCCCGAGGACATTGAAGTGGAAATAAAGCAATTGTAAAATGAAAGACAGTACGCTTTTTGTGATCTGAGGTACCTGGTGTCAGTAAACTCAGAGAAACACAAAGCTGGAGGTGACCGCCAGGAGCTCTGGGGAGAGGAGGGATGGAGATGTGCTGTGTAATGGGGATAGAGTTTTAGTTTTGCAAGATGAAAAAGTTCTGGGGATGGACGGGGATGACGGCTATCCAATTATATGCACTTAAAAATGATCGACATGATGAAGTTTGTTATATGCATTTAGACACAATTTAAAATGAAAAATAGGATGTTATTTTTGCATTATAAAACATCTTGAAAAATAAAATATTTAACCTTACATGGCCAGAGAGAGCTCCCAGTTACATTCTGGGGTTGAACCTGAAACCCAAGAACGTGCCCTTGATTGAGGATCCAACTGGCAGCCCTTCAGTGCAGCTGGCAACCACAGGCCAGAGCTGCCTGTACATTTTGTTGGGCTTTCATGGTTGTAAGTACCCACTGTGTAGTATTTTTTCATTTGCAGGTATCATTGCAAACTGCGACATGGGTTCTATAACCATTCTCTTTTGTTGGACATTTAATTTGCTTCCAGTTTTATTCAGTGATACATAACACTGCGATGAACATCTTTGGTTTAAAGCCTTGCAGTATGTTGTATTTTCATAAGCTTAAATTCCCAAGTGTGGAATTCCCAAGTCAAAACATAGGGCCATGTTTTAGATAGGTACTAGACTTATTGTGGTGATCATTTCAAAGGTTATGTGAAACACTAATCACTATGTTGTGCATATAAAATTAATATTATATGTCAACAGTACCTGAAAAAAAAAGTCTTTTTTTTTTTTTTTTTTTTTTTTTTTGTGGTGGGTGGTACTGCTTAAAGTGTGCTTTGCTATGGGAGGTCAGTGAAGTGAATTTTTTTCAGATATGTGCTATTTAGATTACTGTAAAAATGCATATAATTTCCATCAGCCCAATCTAGGCAGTGTTCTTTATTTATATCTTACTAGAGGCCTGGTGCAGGACATTTGTGCACAGGGATGGGGGCATCCTTAGCACGGCCACGGAGGTGGGCTGCTGTGCTCGGCAGCTGTCAGCCCAGCTTGTGGCTAAGTGGTGCTCCCCCTGTGGGAGCACACTGACCACCAGGAAGCAGCTCCTGCATTGAGTGTCTGCCCCCTGGTGACCAGTGCATGTCATAGTGACGGTCATTCTGCCATTCGGTCGATTTGCATATTATCCTTTTATTATATAGGATTATCTAGAGCAGTGATTTTCAACTGATGTGCCTACCAGAATTTTAAAAATATACAATACCCACCTTCTTTCCCTTTATATTGTCAAATAAAAAAAATGACAACAGCCATCATATCTGTAGCCAAGTGGTATGAATGCCTTGTCTTGAACCAGAAATATAATGGAGTTGTATCTTATCAGTCACATTGCATAATTGGTTAATTCTTGATACCAGAAATCCTTATATACAAGTATAGGCACATGATTTAAAAAAAAAAAGTCACTTTGAAGCACAATAGGTAAGTAATTACTACTACTATTTTTTGTAAATCAATCAAAATTATACTAATTTTTTTTTCAAATATATTTTTTTGTCATGCTGTAGAATTTTAGTAATTAGTCTATGTGTGCCCTGAGATGAAAAATGAAAATCACTGATTTAGTGATAGTGATCATTTAGTGAGAAAAAAAAGCACATTAGTCCTATATATATGTAATACATATTTGGGAAAAAGAAATTTCCATGTTTCCAGCAGAAGAATAAAGACAAGTTGAAGATTATATCACATCTGATGTATGTAGAAAAATTATGTGCAAAATAATCACAACAGGCAATATAAACAATCCCTTGGTAAAAGATAGTATTACTACAATACTGACAACCAGTTACTGTATACCTACCAAGCACTAGGTACTTCCCACATAATACCACTAACCCTTGAAACAATCTCAATTTAAACACTAACCCTTGAAACAATCTCAATTTAAAAAAGGAAAAAAGGACCAAGACCAGTTTGGCTCAGTGGATAGAGTGTCGGTCTGTGGACTGAGGGGTCCCTGGTATGATTCTGGTCAAGGGCATGTACCTTGGTTGCGGGCATATCCCCGGTGGTGGTTGTGCAGAAGGCAGCTGCTCGATGTATCTCTCTCACCAATGTTTCTAGCTCTCTATCCCTCTCCCTTCCTCTCTGTAAAAAATCAATAAAAAAATAAATAAAAGGTTTCAGAAAGGTTAGTGACTTGTCCAAGCCGAGGATGGCTTAACATGTAGGAAGTCCCCATGTTCTCTTCAGGCACCTCCTCTCTAGATTACAGGGAGGTGATAGATCACCATCAGTGGAAGGGCTCACTCCCTTTGATACCAAATTTGCGTTTCAGAGGCGAAAGCTAGCTGCCTTTCCTCTGACTTGGTTGGAACCCATGATGGGTCTGCTGGAACCTTGAAGGAGTAAGTTTATGTGGCTGGAGGAGGGATAGTGGTCAAAAAAGAAAGAAAGCAGAGGCCAGAATTTGCAATGACATCTGAAGATTGGAGGAAGGAGGGACAGAAAGAGGATATAAATGACAAAGCCCATCTTCCCTAGAGAACAAAAGTGCCTTATATTGTACAACAGGACGAAGTCTTGGGTGTGGTTTCATGTGAGGTCTGTTTGAAGCCCTCACCTTTCCTCCCTGACTATGATATTAATGTGGAATCAGTTTTACAGAACCTTGTTTCATCGATCACTTTCTTGAACCTGTAAAAGATCTGATCAAACTTTTCTGTCTGAGTTTCTCTTAGGGCAAAGTTTGTGTTCTGGGAAAAAGAGCAAGGAGAAAGAAAATCATAATTTTATTATATTACTAGAGGCCCGGTGCATGAAATTTGTGCACAAGAGGGGGATGTCCCTCAGCCTGCCTGCACCATATCCAATTTGGGACCCCTCTGGAGATGTCCAACTGCTGATTTAGGTCCGATCCCTGAGGGTGGAATTGGGCCTAAACCGGCAGTTAGACATCCCTTTCACAATCTGGGACTCCTGGCTCCTAACTGCTTGCCTGCCTGCTTGCCTGCCTGCCTGCCTAATTGCTCTTAACTGCTTCTGCCTGCCAGCCTGATCGCCCTCTAACTGCTCCCATACTGATCTGATTGACATCTAACTGCTCCCCTGTCAGCCTGATCACTCCCAACTGGTCTGATCACCCCCAACTGTCCTCCCCTGCTGACCTAATCACCCACAACTGCCCTCCCCTGCCAGCCTGATCTCCCTAAATTGCCCTCCCCTGCAGGCCCAATTACCAAAAACTGCCTTCTCCTGATGGCCTAATTGCCCACAACTGCCCTCCCCTGCTGCCACCCGCCTCCTGGGCCAGGATCTACCTCCTCCACATGAGGCTGCAGAGATGCCAGGGCTGGCCTCCTCCTGCCATGCAGAGCCACAGGATCCCCAGGCTCACCGTATGGAATGGCTACTGGGCTCCACCTCCTCTGTGTGGGTGGTCATATTGTGGTGGCCATCTTATGGTGGCCACCTTGTGGTGGCCATCTTGTGATGATGTGGCGTACGAGGGCACAAGGATCACCTGGGCTTTTATTAGTATTCTAGAGGCCCAGTGCATGGATTCGTGCATGGGGGGAGGAGAGTCCCTCAGCCTGGCCTATGCCTTCTGGCAATCCGGGACCCCTCAGGGTATGTCTGACTGCTGGTTTAGAATTGGGCCTAAACCAGCAGTCAGATATCTCCCGAGGGATGTAGCTGTGTGCCAAACACCACACTGCTTGCACTCCTCCCAGCCCTCTGTGCCTGCCGCTGCCACGGAGTCATAAGAGGCTCCTGCCCCTGCAGTGCATTTGCCAGCTGTGATCCCGGCTTCTGGCTGAGTGGTGCTCTCCCTGTGGGAGCACACTGACCATCAGGGGGAAGCTCCTGTGATGAGCATCTGACCCCTGGTGGTCAGTGCACATCATAGCGACTCATTTTGTTGTAATGGTCACTTAGGCTTTTATATATATAGATAGTTCCCTTCTTGGAAATCACAATACACCTTAGCATATTAAAGACTGAGAAATTCTGCAATTAAAACCCAACCCAACCAAAACAACATGTGTTTATGTAACACAGGGCTCCCCAGCTTGGTTGGTAACCCTTTTCTTCCCTACTAAGTGCTCACACATATATCTGAGTGCCATTTTCTGGAAAACACCTTAATGACAAACTCTTGTGCAGACCAAGGAAGCCGAGAGTTCTGAAGATCTCGTCTCTGATCCTTGACTCACGTTCCTGGCTTTTTTGAGTCTCAGTGTGAAAGGGTTCTGTTGTAGTGACCACGTGACATTTCCTGAGTTTATCCTGTGCTTTCCATGCTCAGCCCAAATCTGACCTGTCAGCTTCACAGTGCTGCAAGGCGGGAGGTCAGTGTGCCTGCACTTCCCAGCGAGGACACAGGCATGAGAGGGGTGAGCCCATGGTCACTGGCGGGTAAGTGAGAGAAGGGTATTCGGATTCTGTTTTTTTTTTTTTTTTGTTTTGTTTTGTTTTTGTCTCTTCAGTCACTGATTTTTATATTGCTTGTGATT